CCTCCCCTTATCTTTATAGATATTAGTTATGTACTTTATTGTGTTGTATGCAGCAAAACATTTTGACACAATATTGTAACGCCAATGAAATTGTGACATCCTTTTGAAACCAATCATTCAGACTTTAAAGAGATGGGGATTGAATATTTTAAGTGTAGCTTTCATGAGCTTTTTTTACAAGCCAAAAATTTTTGCAGCTTTCCAAACTAGAGAAGGTCACTAAATCATCCTACAGGTTTTAATTTCTAATATAGTAAATATCAATTGCCATGACCCAAATAAACAAAAGAAAACTCTTTGGGGTCCTTCTTTACGGTGGATTATCCCCAGCCTTGTTGATAGGTCTATGTCTTCCTATGATCTCTTTCAGAACCACTGCTTTGGAATTTCAAGCACGTAATCCCCTGGTTGAGCACAGGTTATTTAATTCAAGAAGCTGCTTTTCAGTGACTGGAGGGACTTTTATTGAAGTTAGCTTGTTTCTCTTTGGCAATTTTGAGCAAACACTTAGGAGTAGAATGGCTGAGTTATATGGTAGGCATATGCATAATCGTTTAAGAACATTCTAAACTCTTTTCTAATGTGCGTATATAATTTTACATTTCCACTTAGCAATGCATGAAATTTCTAGCTACAATGCATCCTTATCAACACTTTTTACTTTTATTCATTCTGATGGGTAAAATAGTAGTATCTCATTGTGACTTTAATTTGCATTTCTCTGATGACTAATGATGGTGAGCATATTTTCACATGTTTATTTGCTATCTGTATGTCTGCTATGGTGATGATGTATTCAAATCTTTTGCCCATTTTTATTGGGTTCTTAATCATCTTATTAAATTATAAAGAGAATACCTTATCATTTAAATAAAAGCAGCTTTATTGAGATATATTCATATACCATACAATTCACCCATTTAAAGTGCATAATTAAATGGCTTTCAGTTTGTTCAGAGTTGTGTAATCGTCACCACAATTCACTTTCATCGTGGAAAAAAGAAACCTCGCCCCCTGTAGCCGTCAACACACATTCTCCCCATCCCCTACTACTATCCCTAGGCAACCATTAATCTACTTTCTATCTCTATAGATTTGCCTCTTCTGGACATTTCTTGTAAATGAAATGTATGTGTGTGTGCGTGTGCGTGTGTGTGTTTGCCTGTTTTCTTTCACTTAGCATGTTTTCAAGGTTCATCCGTATTGTAGTATGTATCAGTACTTAATTTTTTTACTATGCAATAATATTCCATTGTATAGATATATTACACTTTATCTATTCATCAGTTGATATATATTTGGTTGTATCTACTTTTTGGCTATTATGAGTAATGCTCTTATGAACATCCATGGACAAATTTTTATGTGGACATAAGTTTTCATTATTCTTGGATTGATACATAGGAGTGAAATTGGTGTTTCATATGGTGACTATACGTTTAGCTTTTTGAAGAACTGTGGACTGTTTTCCGAAGCGGCTGCACTATTTTACATTCCCAGTAGCAGTATATTAGAATCCTGATTTCTCCATATCCTAACCAACACTCGTCGTTATCCGTCTTTTTCATTATAGTCATCCCAGTGGGTGTGAAGTGGTGCTCATTGTGGTTATAAAGTGTTTTTGAAGAACAAACTTTTCAATTTGAAAAAGTCCAATTTGTTGGCGTTTATTTTTCCTCCCATGGGTTGTGATAATTTTGTTGTTGTTGTTGTATTTAAGAAATCTCTGGCAAACCCATGATTTGCTCTTATTTCTTTTTTCCCGGAAGTTCTATAGTTTTAACTCTCAAATTTATGTCTATGACCCATTTTGAGTTAATTTTTATGTAAGATGCGAGGGTTGAAGTTCACTGTTTTGCATATAGCTATCTAATTGTTCCAGCACCATTTGTTAAAAAGATTATTCTTTCTGCAGAATTGTTTTGGCACCCTAGTGAAAATCATTTGAGGAAATCTGTTTAAGGACTCTTATTTTTAAGGAGCCTTACTCTAGGGCTAATTTGGCACCAATGCTGAGACAATATCCTTTTGAATCTTCTACCCAGTGCTTTGTATATTATAAGGTTTTTCCATTCTGGCTGGGTGGAACCTGAACTATTCCCAGTCCTGTGTGAACTTGCGGGGGTTTCCCATTTATTTCTTTCATATGGTTCTTTTCCTGGTGTAGTGTAGTTTTTTCCACATGTAAGTGCCAATTAGTACTCAGCCCAAGACTTGAGGGGAACCCTTCCCAGACCTCCAGGGCATGTGCACTCACAATAGAGTTTCTCTCCCTCTCTCCTCCTCTCTCTCTCCCTCTTCCCCCACTCCACATCCTTCTCTACTACTTTCTCCCTCTCCCTCTCCCCACCCCCACTGCCACACGAAACACCTGTATCCCTGTCTTCTGTGAAGCTTTCTCTTTATAGTAAAAAGTATGGGTCATCCATCAGTCATTTTGGATTACAATGGACCAAAGCAGAAAGTGGGGGGAAATTCTCTCTTAACTGGGTGAAGAATCTCTTCGGTTGAATTTTCACTTATTCATTCATTCATAAATGACAACCTGGATTTAATTTGGCTGGTTTGCATTTTGAGTCGAATCACTCTCTACCTTTGTGATTTGGGGCAATATATTTAACCTTTCTAAGCCTCCATTTCCTCACCTATAAAATGGGGTTGTGGAGGTAGTTTTGAGGACCGAATGAGACATTCTATGTAAAGGGCTCAGCACAATGTCTGACACACAGATTTGCTGCTAATCTGATGTTCATTTCTCAGTGCTCACTTCGCTCAAGCTATTAGTGTTACTTTCCCAGGCTAATCATTTACTCTCTTGAAATTTTTTTTCTTCTCGTGGCATCAAGTACAACACTCTCAGTTCTCCTCTAACCCTAGCTTTTATATCTTCTCAGTTTTTATATCGTCTGAATTTCTGTACCTTCTTTGTTATTTTTGCTTAGTCTCTAGGGGTTCTCATCCAGTCTCATGGCTTTATATACTGTCTCTAAACTGATTGATTATTCCCAGATTATATCTCTAGCCTGGAATTTGACTTTGAACAGTAGGCTTATAAATCCTAGTGGTGATCTTTGCCATTTTGTCTCCAGATCCATTCCTTGCTCTTCCTCTGCTCTACTTTACATTACAGAAGGTGGTGGGGTCCGACCCCTGCAAGGTGCACTTCTTAGGCTCCTGTGTCAACTAGCTTCAGGCTGCATTTGACCCACTGAAGGGACTGGTGGGAGTTTGAAGAGCTGGAAGAAGGAAAAGCCACAGTATCTTTAGCTCTTCTCTTTTGTTCTTGGGTAGTGTCTCTGGCAGTGGCTACTGCTCAACACTACAACCTCTGGTTTCTGGTGACACCATTTTCCCCAATAATGCCTCTGCCCTTCTTGCTGTTTGTGATCTCTTTGGGCCTGCCTAACCCTGTTGGGCTTCCCAGCAATTCCACTACTTTTGTAAGCATTCCCTCTGTTTGGAATACCTAGAGTGGGTTCTGTTTCCTGACAAGGCCTCAGCTGATAGAGTTCTCTAATGGGTGTCTCAAAATCAACACATTTAGAACAAACTCTTGATTTCCTTCCTACGTTGCTCCTCTTGGCACTTTGCCCATGTGCATTCATGGCGACCCCATTTTACTAAACTCATTAGCACCATCCTTGACATCTCTTTCTCATACCTGTATCCAACCACCAGCAAATCTTGTTGGCTTGATTTCATGAACATACCTAGAGTCAAGTTTTTTTCTCCACATCCACAACTCTCACCATCCTGGTCCAAACCATCATTAACTCTCACTTGGATTATTGAATTACCTTCTAACTAGTCTCCCTGCTTTCACAATTGACCCTAATATTCAGAGTGATCTTTCTAAACTGTAAACTAGATCACGTTGCCTTTCTTTTGAAAACTTTCCACAGACTTCTCATTTCATCAAGTCAGAAGAAAAATCAAAGTCTTTACAAGTGGCTCCCAACTACCTCCAGGAAACCATTCTCCACCTGAGCACATTCTCTCCCAGTGACATTGACCTCACTACTCTTGCTAGAACCCATCAGTAGAATTCCTGCCTCAGGGCCTTTGCACATACTCTTCTTGCACCCCAGAATGCTCTTTCCCCAATAGCTATGTGGCTCTTAATTACCTGTTTGTGTTTAGATGTCACTTCATTAGAGCCTGTACATATAACAGCACTCTCCTTCATTATCTCTTTATGTTGTAGCCGCCAGCCCCCGAAAGACACACGGACCACCAGAAATCAGTGAGTCATAGGAAACACTCTCTTTATTCAGCCAGCTGGGTCTGCCAGGGCTACGCAGACCCCAAATTAAGCAGCCCCAAAATGTAGAGGTACAGGGTTTTTAAGCCCTAAATCCCATTCCTCATTCTGTCTTAAACACAAAGGTCTATTTTTCTCCTGTTCACTACCTGTCAACCCACAGGTTGGTTGTGCAAGCGGGAGTACAGAAACAGAAAGCTTATTATTAGAATGTCATGTTCCCGTGGGTGATAGCCTATGTTCCCATGGGCGATAGGCAAGCAGTAATTTTCCAGCCAGTACATTTACTGTTGTTTTCTTGTTGTTGTTCATAACACTTACTACTACTTTATATTATGTAGTTATTTATGAATGGTGTGTCTCTTCTCATTAGAAAGTAAGCAGCAGAGCAGGGACCTCGTTTGGTTGGCTGCTATACTCCAAATATCTTAACAATGTTTGGTATTAAAACGTACAGCAAAATTGTTTTGCATCAGGCACAATGCTAAATGCTTTATATGGAGCGCATAATATAGAACTAGGGATGCCGGTCCTGCAGGAGTTCCTGGGGCAGAGCTAAGAGACCAGGTGTTTGCAGCGTGCAAATGGAACTGAGAATCTGCCCTGGGACGGAACTCGAAGGCCAGACCTCGGCTCTTCTAGGGTCCGCCCACAGCGCATGCTCTGCGGGGGCCGCGGGCGGCTGGGATGCCGCGACATTCAGCCGGGGCGGAGTCTAGGCGGCACTTCCCAGTGGCCGGCTGCTCTGATTGGCGGCGCTAATAGTCTGTGAGGTGCAGATGTCTGCCCTCGGGTGGGCGCGGCCTGCCCACTCCAGGTCTTTTCTCCGCTCACCCTCCCCTGCCGACGGGCACTACGACTCTGAACCGTGGCTCAGGAATTTGGCTCCAGGTGAGCTCCCGCTCCGATTGCACTGTTAGGCGCGGGCGCGGCAGTTTGGGTTCTGCCTCCACGGACTCAGAGGGCGGGCCGCGCACCGCCCCCAGGGGCTCAGTCCCAACGTCCCTGAAGGCCAGTAGCATTCTCTGCGCTTGACCTCCGGCGGGTCTTGCCTGGAGCACCTGCGGGCGGCTGGAAGCCCCTCCCAGTGACCCAGGTGTCTGGGGGGTTCTCTGAAGATGTTCTCCCCTCCCCAGGCAGGCGCGGTTGCCACTCAGTAAAGCTTGCCCAGAGGCCTTGGAGTGCGGTGACAGCCAAGATTCCTGATTCCCAGCTCCTCTCCTTACCCCCAGTCGGCAGCCGGCCCGACCTCTAACTTGGGGAGCCGGCCCGACCTCTAACTTGTTAACTCACAGGCTGGTCAAGAGTGGACTGTGGCATCTGGCCTTGTGAAAAATCCCAGCGACACTTATTTACCCAGCGGGCACTTGGCTTTCAGTACTTAACTCGGGTGAATCTGTTTCTTGAGAAAAGGATTTAAGGGTACAGCATAGAATGGGTGGAGGCGTAATTAACATGGTAGGTCAAAAGCGCTGCCTGCGAGGTCTGGCGCACAGCAAGAACTTAAATGGGAGCCGAAATGTTTATTGTTGCTGTTGTAATTATTATTAATATTATTATTGCTGTTATTATTAAGCTAAATGACAAGATGCTTTGGGGCTTTTCTTCAGCCACTGAGTTGTTGGACCGCCCCTATCCCACATTGCAGAATCTATATTGTGCATCTAGTAGGTGCTTGGCACTTAGGTCGTCGGGGTTCAAAATTGAGTCAGACACCCTAAGCTGAATAAAATGGCTGCGGTGAAGTACTTAATTGGATTGTTAAAATATAGAAAGAGGTGAAATAAAGTTGCTAAGAGAGCCCAGAAAAGCACAGGTAATCTAGCCTGGAAGGGCATTTTCTAGAGTTTTATATAAATGGAATTGTATGTATTTATTTTTTGGAAGGGAAAGGTCTGGCTTCTTTCACCATAATTATTTTGAGATGCATTCATTTTATTGTGTGTTCATTTCTCTGTATTGCTTAGTAGTATATATGTTCCACAATATGTTTATCCATTCACCTATTTGGGTTCTTGCAGCTTTGGGCTATTATACTCAGTCTGTTATAAATATTTTTGTACAAGTCTTTATATGGGCATACATGCATGCATCTTTTTAAATGATAATATTTATCTTAAAAAATGTAGGTGGCCTGGGCTATAATTCCAGCCTTGCCTCTATCCACCTGGGTGTCTTTGAGAGAGCCACTTCACTTTGCCTTTAATCTATCCCCAAGTCTTTGCTATGTTGTGATTTTGTACCTTCGCTGCCGGAAACTAAATGGTCTTTGTTTATGGTTAGAGGGTTTCAGAAGGAAGGAGGGGATGGTCTTCTTTCCCTGTTTTTTTTTTACAGACTCTCTTATTTCACTTTTTTCCCCCTTGGTGACAAAATTGAATCCTGACATATAATTTTGAACAAGAACAGAAGTGAGTAGATAGTGAGGGCCAAGAGCTAATATTGGCTGAACTTAAGATGTTGAAATCACAATAAGATGGCAAGAGGTGTGAGGTTAACAGGCTCCAGACTTTTGTAGATCTTCCTTTTTCTCAGCCTAGTTTCTTCTAAGTCCTTCTGTTATTTCTCCCAAAATATATTTTTTAAACCTCGTGGTAAAGAGGTGAGTAGACGTGCTGGGCTCCAAAAGACATATATTAACAGGGGTGACCAGTGGGGAGGTTTCCAGTAAAAAGAAGAATTTCTCCTTTTTTTGCTTCCAGATATGACTGGAGTCATTTGTTTCAGATTTGCCCTTCACCTAACTTTTGCCTTAAACCTGGTTCAGAACTTCTTATAGGAACATTAATCTACCAACATAATTGTGTGTAGTGAAATTTGGACAAATAAGAATAGACTGTTTTATACAGAATGAAAATGCGGCTCTTGGGTTTGGTGTTCTGTCTGGTTCTTGGGACCCTGCATTCCAAGACATCTGGAGGAAAAGTGACACCTGTGGATCCTGAAACAAATATGAATGTGGTAAGTTTCTCAAAGTCACCTGCTTTTAAAATGAATATGACGAATGTTATTTTCTTAAATTTAGTTATATGGGCTACATGGAATCACAAATTCTAATCTCTTTATATATCATTGTGCTTGTCATGTTCTCTGAATCTTAGATTCAGTTTGTTAGACTTTCCCACCAGGTAATGTATATTTTATTGATTGTATCTTACTGTTAAAACTATATACTTCTTAAGTGATAAATAATATTTTTATAAATTTGTTTCATTTTTAAGTATCATTAAATTTGTTTAAAGAACAATAAAAATTATCAAAACTTTGCAAGAATGTTACTACTGAGCATTGCTTTTTACAATATATCAAACAAGGATTGTGATTAGCAATGTCCAGGGAGCACAGTTTAATACAAAAATCAAAATATCTGGGTAAATGTCTTATTAGAACAAATAAGCAAACATAACCCCTTGAGTAATTAAAATATTTAAGAGTTAGTAATCTTAAGTAAACAATAAAATCTGGAAATGCCTCACTTAGGCATAAAATATTGGGAAAATAGAGATTAATAAAGAAAACAGAAACTTTAAAACATACAATGGAGTGACCCAGTTGAAGAATCAGTCCATCTTAGAGACTGAAATCAATTCATAGTGAACCAAGAGAATATGACCTGACATCAGGGTCTTAAAATTAAATTTTAATTCTTGACTGAAATCTTTTACCTCTCCCCGTCCTTTTATTTTTTTCCTTTAAAAATAATAAAATTAAATGCTTTCACGTATTATGGCAGAGAGGGTAATGAACACTTATTTACATTAAATCTTCTGGATAGTTGAGTTACCCATATCCTACTGAGCTCCTATTAGCAATTGCCCCATGGATCTTATGGAAAAGTGAATTTGATCACAGTTCCATATTTTTAAGCTTTTCTCACTCTTCAGCTTCACCTTGCCATTCTGTATTTTATTAGTGTAATTTATTGATTCATTGATTAATGCTCTTTATGCTTCGTTTCCCAGGGTGGGACCTCTTAAAACAAGAAAATCAGACTGTTGATAGATCATAGTATTATTTGGCATATTTAGAAAAGAAACAAGGGTTTATTTGTGCCTGGGAGCCAGGATGGAAGCAAAGAGGCCCAAAGCTATGGTAAAATTAGACATAGTTGGTGTAGAATTTGCTAGAATGATGAGACCAAGGTTTAACCAAAATGTGTGAGTAGAACACATGGATAAAACAAGTGGAAGATTTATTCTTGTCATGGGTGTGCTACTAGATTCAGCAGACTAACATTTCAATCACAATTGATTTCTTAAGTAAAGCCTAGAGAATGTCATTGACATTTTATCTTCTGCTTTGCCTGTTAATATGGAATATCTTGTCAGATTTTATCCTTAGAATTTCCATGATTATTACTCTTTTTTTTTCCACAGAGTGAAATAATCTCTTACTGGGGATTTCCTAGTGAAGAACACCTAGTTGAGACAGAAGATGGATATATTCTTTGCCTCCATCGAATCCCTCATGGGAGGAAGAACAATTCTGAGAAAGGTATGGATGTTTTCTGTGTCAAGGTAGGAAAGCTCTGACAAGTAACTGCTTTCCTGGAATTTGGTCAGTTTTTATGTCAGTAATCAGATTAAGGAACTTTTAGAGAGACTACTTGAAATTGTTAAACAAATATCAGAATAAGGATCTGACCCTCATTCAATCATCTCTCCAGATGTAGCTTACTCTTTAACATTTTCTGATTCTAGAAATTTTCCCTGGTAAACTAAGGTTGATGTTAAGATAATTGGATAAAGATCTCTTCTTTAGTTAAATTTTTATATGAGCAGAAGGGCTTTTGTTTGCTTCAATTCCTTCCCAGTAAGAATAAGCTTAGGGAAGGTGCTTCCTCTTCTTTTTCCATTGCCACCTCTAGGCTCCTCTCTCCATGCGGCAGTTAAAGCTAATAGTGCCACACACCTTAGGTGTATGTGTCATGATATTGCAAAGGAAGGCACTGTGCCCTGGAATATCAGAAAAGTGAGCATGATTCTTGACTTACTCTCAGGTGGTAGGAAAAAGAGTCAGGAGAACTCAGGGCTAGATCTGTGTCAGCCCCCAAGTGCTCACATGCTTTTCACATCTGTGTGCCTTGGGTTCTTCATCTGTAAAAACAGTTGATTGGCTGGGATGATCTCAAAGTTCCCCTTTAGTCTTTATCACTCTCTGGTTCTGTGGGTTCTATTCGATATTGGTGGGGATTGGGGCAGTAGATACTCTTGGTCTTTAAAATGGGAAACATAGACTGAAAGTGCTCTAGATCTGGTCATAGCATTAGGTTCCCACCTTCTTCCTCTGTTCTGCATTTTCATGGCCCAAGGTAGAGGCCTTTCCTCTTCCTTCTCTCATATTCAGGAGCAATGTTGTTACTTTGGCTCATCTAAGCCAAACAGATAAAAAATTCATGAGGTCCTTCACAACCAATGTGACATTCATCTTCTTCTTATTCATGCCACTTCCTCTCTTGACTTCCTCCTCTATTAATAACACCATCACCCTCCTAACGACCTTGATGGGAAAGTGCAGAATCATTCTTGACTCCCATCCTCAAGGCAAGTCCTCTCTGGGCTGCCCATGTTACATGGCTGTAGTTCATCCCTTCCTTGCTCTGCCAGGCCACCACCCTACTTTATGTTCATGTTACCATTTAAGGAGATGCCTGAAATGAGCTCAGAACCTGAGAGAGGCTTATGCCACCTCCATTTTTGAGGCTTTTCATATATTAAGAAATCAAAGAATTTCATAAAAGAAATATGAAAATTCAGTCTACTTATCTTGTAAGAAATTAATGCTTTTAATACACACAAAGATAACACCGTACATCTGTACTACTTATAAGCCATTACAAGATAACATTAAACCATTATTTATTAGGGATAAAGTGAAACCATTCCTCTTTCC